TTTCGAGATCGCGCGGAGTGACGCTGGACTGGTACTTTTGATTTTTTTTCTTTTTGTTTCAGTTAGTGTTTTGAAAATCGGATCGAACCGGCCGGTTGAACCGGGAAGCGGTCTGGTAGAACCTGTTAACCGCTTCGGCACCAACCCGGCTAAAACTAGACGAGCCACCGGTTGAACCATAAAATCAGAGAATCGGCGGTTTTGAACGAACCGGACGACTCAAAATAATGCTTTTGTCCACCATTGATTTCACAATCCACAGTTAAAAAAGGTTTTACTAAACCGTATAACCCTAAATGACTAAATCCCTAATATGTCCATAAGATCCATACACATATGCAGCTTCAATTTTTCCTCCCAGGTCGTGATCCCAATTCATCTCCTCTTCGGCAGGTCGCGATCCCAACTCTTCTCCTATTCGGCTCTTCCATCTTTGATCAAAGAAGCAAAAGGTGGAACTGATGGAAGCTTACAGCATCTGGCTTGATCATAGGCCAAAGAAAACCCACGCAGCCTACCCTAACACCAGGTTTTACGGTTTTACCTAAATTTTATTTGATTCATTGGTCATTAATATCATAAGTTAAGAACTATATAAATGAGTTTGTGATTATATTTTTCATATATAAGCTCGTTTTGATATGTGAAATGCATATACAATATTTGATTTTAATTAGGTACACATTATTTACTAGATAGAAATTTTTCATGGTGTTAGCACTTATCAGTGCTACTAAATTTTTTTTAATGCATTAGCATGATTAATCTTATATGGACTTTAGTTTCTACAGAATTTGTGAGAGATTTGCAATTGTTATTGATCTATTTGCAACTGTTAGAGATTTTTCATTTATAGGCTCATTTTTTATATGTAGTAACTGAACATTGACATCTGTTATTAATCTTATATGGTCTTTAGATTGGCAATTGCTAACATATTAAAAAACTGTTATTTAGGACTTAGGAGACACTCAATGAATTATATTTCTTCTATGACAATCATTTAATAACTAATAAAAATATATCTTCAATGTTCTTTGTCGTAAGATAATGTAATTCAATTCAGTTTTTTTTTTTTTTTCCACTCTAAAAAAAAAATAACAGTTTCAAGAAGACCTATCGTAGAGTATTGATCTATTTAGTGATGATCCTATTGATGAACAGATGGGCTCATGTTCCGTTACAAAGTCACAAAGTTCTGATACACATGCTAAAGGGATTGATAAAGGAAAAAAGAAAATTGATGAAATTGATAAATTTTTTGTACCTAGAACAAAATCAGGAGCTTAATCATCTCTAAAAAGCACAATGGCATCCAAGGATGCAGTGCACCGTGCTGATTTAGCAGTTGCTAGATGGTTTTATGACAGTTGTATTCCATTTAATGTCATCAATTCACCTTTTGCACAAAAGGCTATTTATGCAATTGTTGCAATAGGACCTAGTTATAAATTACCTTCTTACTATAGATTGAGAGTGAATCTATTACGAGATGTTAAAGAGGAATGCAAGTTGTTAATTGATTCTTATAGAAGAACATAAAAAAGAACTTGTTGTACATTGATGGCTAACGGTTGGACATATACAAGGAGTAGAACTTTGATAAATTTTCTTATTTATTGTCCTCGTGGAGTCTCATTCCTAAACTCAGTAAATGCATATGATATTGTTAAAGATGAAACAATATTATGTTCACTATTCACTGATATTATTGAATGGGTTGGTTAGGATAATGTAGCTCATTTTGTGACAAATAATGCATAAAATTATAAGAAAGCTTGTGAGTTATTGCATGAAAAATTTGAAATATATCTAAAATATCTTTTTAAACAATGATGCACATCTTATTATTAATTTTTTTTAATAATAATTATGTAGGTTAACTTAGAAAAAGAAGTTATGATCTGTTAGACTACACAAGTATTGAACTTATTGACTTTTGGATCCTTGAAGATGAACCAACTCCAGAATTACATTTATAAGACTTGGAGATGAAAATTTATAAAGATGATGCAATTCCTACTGATATAGAACCAAACATTACACCAACTAGATCAATCACAAGTATGATTGTAGATTAACTTATATCTTTTGAGTGTAATATAAAATATAGACTTATTATTTTATATAATTCTTAATGGTTTGCAGATGCAGACAACTTAACTAATATATTTGATGAAAATGACATACCATATGAGGATTCAGAAGCATTTGGGATGCAAGATTTTGTTGGAGTGTTCTGGAATCCATCATTTGATCACACAAATTTAATTGATGATTATTAGATTCACGAGTAGTGTTTTGAGTTTTTCATGTAAATTGATATAAACAATTGAATGACAATTATTAAATTTGTCTCTATGTCTATGATATTAAATTATGACTTTATTATATCTATGATATTTAAATTTTTATCACAATCTTGTTTTATAAATTATAAAGAGGTATGTTATATGCAGTTTATTTTATATATTTCTTAATTGTCTATTTTATTATATGTTTAATTCATTTTTCTTTGTTCATTTTTTTTTAATAGTTTCACATGCTAAAGAAAGAGATCTGAAGATGCGATGCACTTCTCAACACCCGCAAGGTATGTCATTTACTTTTTTTATGAAATATTTGCTTGTGTTTTATTGAATTGCTTGATGCAATATTTATATTATGTGTTATTTATTTATGTTTTATAAATTTAATTGATGTAATCTTTAGGTTTTTTTATTAGTTTGATATAAATGGAATATATATTGAAGGTATTAGAGAAAATTTTATCATTCATTTTTATAAATTAAAATAATATCATTATTTATTACGTCTTCTGGTTCGACTCCGGTTCGACCGGTCAAACCAGTCTACCGTGAACCTCTCATTCTTCCGGTTTGTTGCCCGGTCCAGTTTTCAAAACCTTGGTTTCAGTACACAGGTCATCAAAGTATAATAAAAATTTTAATTAATTTTTTATATATTATTTTTATCTTAAAATAAATAAAATAATTTTTAGGGACTATCTATAATAGCTGTATTTTGACTGTTACTTTTTTCTGGAGTAATTATAACTCCAAATCGCAATCTGTCTTCGCCATAGTATTTTGATTGTATAGATCTTGAGTAGTGTATATGATTTTTGAAAATGAATATAGATTTGTATATTGATGTTTTAAATTTAAAATCTATTTATTTTTTTGTTTATTACTAATATATGATATTAGATAGCTCTTATTGTTACTTATTAAAATATTAAAAGAATAATTCTTCAAATTTATATTCTGGGGCACCACCGCACCACACTTCCCTCAAAATTGTTCTTATATCTAGGGGTGTCAATAAATGAAGAAAATATTATGTACAAATGGCGTACGAACTCCAATCAAAACTGGCCACCTTGCATATACATAGCTAGTGTACAAATTGTACACATTGTGTGTATAGGCTGACATGGTCTATTATGATTGAAGTCCGGATGCAAACTACATCTCGACTCCGTATGTAATAATTTCTTCAATAATGACCCGATCCACCAACCTAACTTGAACTAGGCGTGAAAATTCCGGGTTCGACTTATTAATTGGGTCAGACTTGTTTTAAGTTTTCCGACATGTTCATTAAATGGTTCGGGTTGACCAATAAACTCATTTTTTACCCAAAAATGACAATTTTAATATCTTTTTCTTTTCTTTTCTTTTCTTTTTTTACATGTGATTATAATATTCTCATTTTTTTTTTTACATGTGAGTATAATATTCTCATTTTTTATCAAATATTCTAAACATTATAATTAATAAGTTATAAAAAAATTTAATCAAAATACATTAGTGGGTCGAGTAGGGGTTATTCGTGTGCTGCTAGTGGGTCAAGTTCGGGTTAGTCTTTTTGACCAATTTATCAAACAAGATGGTTTCAGGTTGACTAGATTTGGGTCCATCAAAACCCATTTTGACACCGCTACTTATATCAATCTCTCTCCCACACAAAAAATACATCAATTTCATCAGCCCATATTGGTTTTCACTTTCCACATGGGCACAAATTACCATTAGTGATACTCACATAAATTCAACCAGCTTAAACCAAAATAGTTTAATAAATAAAACTATTTATTTAATTTATTCCAATCTTTTAAAGGCATAAACTAAAACAAAACTAATAAATATAAAAAAATAAAAATAAAATTATTATTTCAATTCAGATTAGTATTGTTGAATTCCTAATTCCAGTTTCTATAATATTATAATTATGCAATTAAGCTTTAGAATTATACCCATTAAGAACTGCACTCATGTGCATTATTAAATCATAGAATACTCTAATTAATTTATGCATAAATAAATAATAAATATCTATTATAATTATTAGTAAGTTGATAATACAATTAATGCCATTAAATTGAATAATTTTAAGAAGATAATAGAATTTTAATATAGAATAAATAATAATAATAATAATAATCATGACTATATAAATATTTTAAATTTATGTTTATATTAATTTCATAAGCTATACTGATATAAAACACAGCTTTCGAGGATGATATTTGTAATGCATCTTCCATTAGCTATGAATCTTCAAATAATAGCTGAATAAGTGGAGAGATTACTCTGTGCGCAGTCCGAACGAGAAAAACTGTTCAGATTGTAAGTGTGCACACTGTTTACATACAATGTATACAAAAATTTGATAGGCACAGCGTACAAATTTGTACACAATATATACACTCACATGTCCAAATGGTTCTTCCCATCCGAACTTCGCACAAAATAATTTCTCGAATAAGTGATAGTTAGAGTTTGTTTGTGTCGATTTCAGCATTTTATAAAGTTAATTGTGAGAAAAATAACTTTTTGAGAGCTATTGTAATATTACAAATATAAATTTATTCATTTTTAATAAATAGAATAACTAATTTATTAAAGCTTCCGCACATTAACAATTTACAAAAGAGTAAAAAAATGTAGCAACGAAATTATAGTTGTCATCTGAAAAGCAAAACAATGAGAACTCCGTCCTAAACAAATCCATAATCATTCCAAATAAATATTTTCTAAGGATTTATTAATTGTACAAATTACCTTACAAAAAAAGAATTTGCGGAATAAGAGATACTTAAGCAAATTCTATATCATATTCCAAAATCCTGCTTGTGTTTGCACATGGGTTCTGAAACAGGTGTACTCACAGGTGCTAATCAAGTTCACCATTGATATGATGATAACAGGTCTTCAACCAATCTCTTTGATATTTGAATGAAAAGAGTTTTTCTTTCCAAGTTGACCTATAAAATTTGAATAAAATTAAAATTGAAATCACAACCACCAACCTATGAAATATGGACAGTTCTAAAAAGGTCAAGACAGGCACAACAACAATTTCAAACACTCAACATTGCATAAGAGGGCTGAACAATGCTATTTGGCATCTCAGGTTTCATTTTTCTAAAAAGAGGCACCTAATATTCCTTTGTGTCAACATACCAATAAAGCTTATTCTTTATTCAAGAGAAATTAGTATGTGCGGTCACCGGACCATTCGAAGGTGAATCAGGATGCGTAACGTCACTCGGTACACAACAAAATGGTGATCTACCGTGTCCTGAAACACCTCCGGATGACGTCTGGTAACAGCATGTTGTAATTTTTCTCGTTTAAGATACATTTTTTATTGTTTTATAACGTAACTTTTTAGCACAAAATTTTTTTGAAAAAAAAAAAATTTGAGCTAAAAAGCTTATTTAAAAGCAATAAAAAGATGTCCCAATCACAAAGCCTAAGTTTCATGAACAACTTTGGATCTTCTAAGTCAGCAAATCATATGGAACATCAAAGAGAACCCCTTGCAATACATTCTTTGGAAACCAGTTCCTGAAGTTGTATATACATGGTGATAAGTCATGATTACACTTCCTTTACATATGAATCCCTTCCAGGATCTCCCTAATTGCTTCTCTAGGAATTCTTGCAAACTTCAGAAAAATTGATTAAGAAAATATGAGACAGTAAACAGAACTTAAATATGATGGGAGCCTCAGTAGCAGGAATTCAAGCATACCTAAAGTGTTTCATGCTCAGTCAGTATACATCTGTAGGCACCACAAGAGTCGAGGGCACTACTAAGCTCTAACACCTGTGCAGCAGAATGATACAGATGAATACAATAAAATTGAATCAGATAAGAGAAGGAACACAAAAATAAGAAATAGCTTAGAGGATTATGAATACAAAAGGGAATTTATCACTACTCTGGCTATCTCAAGAATGCTACCCTACACATCACTCTCTCAGGTAAATCAACCCATTGCCACAGCTTCTCAGTGAAGTTTCCAGATAAAAGTAACCAAGCAAACAAGCATACATAATGTTACCAATTATCATTTAATATTATTAGAAGATAAGATGATATTAAGGAAAGATAGATTCAGTATCTTGGATGTATTAAACAGAAGAATGAAGATAAAGATGATGACATAACTTTTACAGTTAATGTTAAATGATTAAGCTGGATATATCTCAAAAGTTAGGAATAGAGAATATCATGAAGACTTAAATATAATTTTATAAAACTACAATTTGGCTAATGATGTTGTATGGATCCGAATCGTGTGTGTAGAGTGGTGTAGCATCATATTTCTTTTTTCCTTTTTCATGTAGCCCTTTCTTGCAGCCATCTAGATCCGATAAATAAGAGGCAATCGACACTGTTCAAGATATACGAAAAAATGTTATCAAAAGGAGTCTCTTGGATAGTAGGGAATTTTCTATTTATCTCAGACGTCTAGTCCTTCTCTACTCTTCTTCTTCTATACTCTCCATTCTTGCTCACAAGTTTATTTGCTCTCTAAGTAGACCTGCTAGTAAGTCCAGGAATCTTCCATGAACAAATTTTTATTCAACAAAAGTCATTGATATCTAAGTTATGTATGGCACAAATGAAAAATATTAAGATGAATGTGTGAAAAAATTAAAAAGAAAAAATTATATGAAAAGAAAGAGTAACATCTATTGAGAAAAAGATGAGATATAATATATGGTAAATAAAAAATCATTTCCTACACACAAATAACTAACAAATAAAGGATTTGTATCCAAGTTGTGTACCAGATAAGATCTTGATCACACAGCAACTATAGCATCATGCTATACAATATCTTTAATTGACATCAACAGGCATAAAACTGGCTTGTAAGGGCAAAAGAAGATTACAAATTTTCCTCTAAAATTTGTGTTTACTTTGGAGAAGAATAGGAAGACCAGGAGAACTATTTATTACAATCTCATATCAAAATATTGTATTGATTAATCCAAGATACTTACTTTCGCTAATATTTCTCTATGTACAACTTAAAGGCTCATTGTTCTGTAGTCTGCACCAAGGGTTGGCACATGATGCTTGGACCTGGATGTAAATTGAACATAAAATGGTACATTTCAGCTCTCTGTCAAATTATTTAAACGAAATGATAGGAAACCAAGCTATGTACCAACTGAAGACCATATGATAAGAGAAAAAAAAAAATAATTCTTAAATAATTAGTCTAATACAAGTAATAAAACAATACCAAATTTTGTAATGATGGAGAGGTGGACAGAAAAGGGTTGACAATGGTTAATAATAATTCAATAGTGAATAAATGGTTTGGTTCTACAGAAAACAACAGGAAACCAAAAAAGGATGAGTTTTCTATGTTTTCTAGAGAAATTTTTTTAGTAAGAATATCCTAACTCAAATTTACTTAGGATGACTTTTCTGACTATTAAATTTACTTTGACATGAGAGCAACATAAGAGTTGATTGATCATTCATGAATCACACTAATCTCAAATTAAATCCAATGACAAGAAAACTCATTCTAAACTGCTTTTCTTCACGTTTTCAAGATTTAGGTTTCATTTGGGGCTGCTTTTTTACTGTTTCATAAAGCAGCTTTCAAGTACAAAAATTTTTATTTTAGTACAAGAAAGCTACTTTAAGAAGCAATAAGAAAGCCGTCCCAAACGAAGCCTTAAACATCCATTGAATCTCAACCACATAATTTCACTTCAAAATAAATTTTGTGCAGTGTTTAATAAGCATCCTAACATGAAAAACAGCCGGTAAAATTTATAACCATGAAAATTTTTTCCCTAATTAGACAAACCTCCATTGTGAGATTAAAATACATGCATCATGCTTGATAAATCAATTCAAACAAGGAAATTCCCATTTATTGAGTTATTTTATGCTTTACAAAAGTGATGATGTGCAAAAATACATATAAAAGAACAATTCAGCTCCTCTCTAGCTAATGAAGCTTCTCTTATACAAGTTCATCCTTTGCTAAGCCGTTATGTTGCCAACTTGTATAAAAATGACCATTTCTTCTGTATCAGCCATTCACCAAGTAAGCACTTTCAATTTTGGATAATAAACTAACAAGAGAATATGTTCATCTGACTCACGAAAGCTTATATCAAGACTGATACTTATTATTTCGAAAATACAAACATAAAGAGTGACTTTTTGAAATTCCACAGAAGCTTCACATTATTAATTCGGTTTGCAGCAGTAAACAATGGAGTAATACATCCAAACAAGCCTTGAAAAAAATAAAACCTGACAGCAAGCAATAAAAAATTTAAAATAATATACAATGAAGAAACTAAGAACAGAACTTATCAAGAAGATCATCACGTAAAAAAAGAATAATTTACAGAAAACTTACCAGAAATGATTCAAGGAACAAAAGCGGAATGCCATCAATGAAAATTTTGAGGTAAAAGAAAATTAACATATGAGAAATGAGTATTTTGGATTGTCGGAAGATAAAAACTAGAGAAGAGGAAAATGACCTGATGATCATAAGGTAGAAATCATAAAATTAAAGATAAAAAAATAAAAATGAAGTGTTTATCTTAAAAATCAATTCAGCACAGACACCGTGAGGAACTAAAATAAAGAATTTAAGCCGTAGATTTGAAGCGCGCACGATTCAAGGAAATTTTGGTTAAAATCAGAAAGACGGAGAAGACGGAATAGAAATTACAGAAGTTATGATCAAATAAGAGAACAAAAACATAAGAACTTTGGAAGGATGAGCGAACGAAAACCTAATGAGAATCTTCAAAACCTTACGAATAAAAAAAAAATTTGCAAGGATGAGCGAACGAAAACCTAGTGAGAATCTTCAAAACCTTCGAGAACAAAAAAATTTGGACCATTTCTCGATTTATGCGTGTCATCCTTGCGCAGGGGCCATGCTAATCTTCTCTGTATCGTTCCAATTTTATCGGATGTCTCCGAAGAGACAATTGAGCAGCCGTGATGTTATTATATAAACAAAGCTATTTCTAGCGTAGTACAGATGTGGGACTATTAGCAGGTCTGTAAAGAGCACATAGCTAATTCTTAATAGATATATTTTATAGGAATAAAATAAGCTTAATTTATTCTTATCAATTATAGAATATTTTAATGACAATTTCAAATTTTTACGAGCTCAAGAAATGCATAAATTTCAATAAATATGGGTTAACAAATAACAATTTATTTCATGATAAATTGACTTTTTCAGTTAAATGTGTGCAACAATCTTAAATTTTGCCTCACATGAAAAATTCAAAAAGCACCCACTTCGTTCAAGCATCAAGAATCCAAATGATCGATAATGTCACTTATACTATGACTTTGTCATCTATTTCTCCAAAGACATAAATATAATCTCTTGCATTGCAATATATAACTTCAACATCATTCTTCAACGCTCATCATTATACCTCTTAAATGTCTATATATAGTTTTCTCACTATGACTCACCTTGTGATCACCATAATAGGATCCCAAAATTATTCTCACTGAAAATGGTATGTCAATGCAACCTAATCATATTATGCACGTTTGCATTTTGCAATATGGAAAAATAGTTAAATTCGCAATGACATTATAACCATAATAAACCTTTGTTTTGAAAGTTGTTAGCAACAATCCACTACTCTAAAATAAATTATTTTAATAAAGTAATAGATTTTAATCATTATTTTTTTGACAATCTCAATTAACGATAGTACTTTAAATCTGCAGGAGTCAAAGAAGAAGAAGAAGATGGCTCTTGAATTGTTAACTTGGATAACATCTGTAGGAATCAAGTGGAAGATAATGCTTTGGTGAAGATATTCGTTGGCTGGTCTTGCGATTCTACATAATGTACAGTGACATGTTTTGCTTTAATGCAATCGCAAATGAAATGATAACCAACCTTTATATGTTTAGTACGAGCATGAAAAATTGGTACAGTGACATGTTTTGCTTTAATGCAATCGCAAATGAAATGATAACCAACCTTTATATGTTTAGTACGAGCATGAAAAACTGGGTTATTTGCCAAGGCAAGTGCAGAAACATTGTGACAATAAATTGGAGTTGGGGCAGAAATTGTAATATGAAACTCATTAAGTAATCTACGTAGCCATAATATCACTAGCAACAGCAACTAATGCACGATATTTTTCCTTTGAAGATGATTAGGCAACGGTTGATTGCTTCTTCACATGCCATGATAATCAATTTCCACCTGGAAAGGCACAAAAGCTAGAGATTGATCGACATTTAATGGGGTTGGCTGCCCAATTAGAATCTACATATGAACGAAGTTCTAGAGATGCTAAAGTAATGTATAGAACATGATTGATAGTATCATTTAAGTATCGCATCGCTCAGTTTAGTTTTTGGAAGTGGAGTTGATATGGTTTGGGCATATGTTGACACATGTGATTAACTAACTACAAATGAAATGTCTGGCTTAGTGATTGTAATATAGTGAAGTGAGCCAACCTTTTTTTTTTTTTATAAAGGTCTGGATGTTGAAAAGGTTCTAAGGTTTTGGTAGGGGTTGATAGTTTTGAGGGTAGAGGGCTTTGAGCTGTTTTGCAATGGAGCATGTCATATTTGTCAAGCAATTCATCAATATAGTAAGATTGGCAAAGCAATAAGCGATTGGGTTGATGTATTATTTGAATGCCAAGAAAAATGAGATCGTGTCAAGGTTTCTTATACGAAATGTTGAGTGCAAGTTCTGATGCAGAAGATCAATCTTAGGGTGATCATTACCTGTAAGTAGAAGATCATCTATATAAACCAATAAGTATATGGAAATAGATCCTATATGAATTAGAAGCAAGGAAGAATTAGCTTTGCTTTGTTTGAAACCATATTGCATTAAGTGTGTGGAGAAGGTGAGAGGTGATTGCTTTGAGTCCTTAAATAACTTTATGTAGTCGACACACATGAGTTGGGTATTGAAGATCTTAAAATCATGGCTTTGAAAACCAAACCGGACCGGCCGGTTCGATAGGTTCAACCGTGAACCGGTCCTAAGGCCGGTTTGGTCTTCTTAGGAAATCGGTCTAGCATCAAACCGGTGAAAACCGGTTTGAACCGCGGGTTGAACAGGCTGACCGGGTTCTTAAGAACCGCCCAATTCAATTACAATCAAGGTTTTCAGAACCGGACCGGGCAATGAACCGGTGGAAGGAGAGGTTCACTGTTCGACCGGTCGAACCGGGGTCGAACCGGATGACGTAATAAATCATAATATTATTTAAAAAATAAAATAAAAATCAAATTTTCCTGTAATTCATTCATTCAACATTCTATTTTCATAGCTCCTAATTAAAATAACAAAAACATGACATCAATTAAGTTTATGAAACATAAACAAATAGCATATACTATAAGTGTCTCTTCAAATAAGTCAATAAAACATAAACAAATGCATAACTTTTGTCATCACACAAAATGTTCATAATTTTATATGAAGTAAGCTTCAAAATTCAAACATAAATATCAAAATAAATCTAGAAGTCATCTCCTAGATTTGAAGCATCAAAAGTTATATCCATAAATCCATCTAAATGATTTTTCTTGACTATTTCTCTTAGATTCTCTTGCATCTGATGACGAATGTCATGTGGAACTTTTTTGCACGAAGCTATGTTACTATTCTTATTTGAAACCTTGTGCCACATGTCTAGCTTTGTGTTGAGATATAGAGCCATTTGAGTTGAACTTGGTTTTATACAACCATTTGCAACCAAGTACGTTCTGATCATGGTCTTGTTGCTGGTAAGACTAAAATTCAGTTGATATTGTAGATCTCCAAGCAGGATACTTGTTAGCTTATGAAAAGGAGGTTAGTGATAGTGGAACAACTGTATGTTGTAAGTCAAAGGATGCCTTTGGTTTAAGATGGCCAGTTTGGTGACGGGTAATCATAGGGTGACAGATGGGTTGAGGTGGCTAGTCAATTGGAATAGAGGAAGTGGTGTTGGCTGGAGATGGCATGGGTACAGGGGAATGGAAGGTAGGGTTGAGTGTTGTGTGTTTAGTGATAAATTTCACCATTACTTTCCACTTCTCTCTTCAACTTCCACTTATAGAATAAGAAATTATCTAGCAACATGACCCAACAAAGCTTCACAAACATCATCATCATAGACATGAGATGCGACGAAATTGTTCCCTATTGGAAGATGCCACAATAGCTTTATTGTGAACAGATATGTGTTGTACTTGAGTGCTCTAAGTACTCTTAACTTAAGCTACTCTAATTTTGTGTTTGTTGGAAATTGTAAAGGATGATTTCGACCACCAATATATGTTGGTAAAAATTGAACATCAATAGTTAGTTGTCCATTATGTAGGAGCATAAGAGATGTTGATCTTACACTCATTTCTATGAACAAAATAACACGTGCTTAATAAGACATTTTTGCTAATAAGATGATTTTAGGACAAGAACTTACAAGTCTAAATGGCACAACCTCCTCAAATGCAACAACCATTCATAGTTGAGCGGCGAGATCAAATACAATCTTGTAATGCTAGGAGGTGATATAGAATGAAATGTCCCTCCGCAATTTTATCTCTAAGAATTTTCAATGCTAATGTCTCGTATCATCTGATCAGTCACAAATCTGAATGCAATATTTAGATTAAAAATTAGTAAAATCAAATTGAGTACCATTCAAAATATGATTTCATAGTAGAAATAAAGTTTCCAATGAGAAAAGCCCAATGACATCAAAAGTGTTTTGATTTGAATCCAAATGCCCCCAAATCAAGCACTTGATCATAATTGAAAATATCATTATATTATTTTAGAAATCAAAGCATCTCTAAATTTTGCTTGCTAAAAGAGAAAAAAAAAATCTCAATGAGAGAAATCCAAGAAGTCCAAAATCATTCAATTATAATATCTTTAAGGCACTTAAATGCTTAAAACAGGTATTTGATTGAGAGAATCAACACAAGTCTTCTAACGAGAATTTGGAGATTTCGAATAAAATTATCAAATTTGATACCCGCCTAAAAAGCTCTCATTCTTTTACTGAAATGAGTTAAAATTACAAGTTTTAGGGTATGAAGAACTCCAAAAAATTTTCCAGCGATCAATGTTGACGATAACTATCAATAATGATCGATATTGAAGTGTGTAGCACACCCAAAAATGGGGGATTAATTGGTGTCTTTTAAAAATTTTTGGATGAAAAGATTTTAAGTTAATTTTGAAAACTTCAATATACCAAAGTCAAATTTCAAATATTGTAAGTAATACAATGAAATAAAGTGCAAGAGAGAGAGAGAGAGAAGCCAAATTTTTATTTTGATTTGCTCTACAAGTCTAAGTTCACTCCCTAAGTCCTCTATTTAAAAATTCCTCCAAACTCTTTACTTCTACTCCACATGAGGTGTGCTTTTCTTCATTCCCTATGCTCTTCATGGATATTAGTCTCAAATAACAATAATCTCAGTATATTTTAGTGGTAATAAAAATATATTTATATTAAGTGGATTTGATTAAAAATCTTAAATACTTGTAATAAATTTTTTTGGCCCAATCATGGAGCACGATTGCATGATTGTACTGTACAAATAATTCACTATAGTGATTCTACTGAGAGATTATTAGGTGCGGAGGCGGACGGGGAGAACCGTCCGCACAAACTTTATTTCGCTCTAGGTACCGGCACTCGGTACCCAGCGGGTACCGCTAGGTACTCATATTTGTGCGGACGGTACACACTCCGCACCTAATAATTTTTCCCAAGAGACATTATCTTTATTCACTAACATTGGATGTAATTCCCTCTTAGATATTTGATTATAAATTAAATTAATTTCTTATGGCATCATACAGTGCGGTGTGTATCGTACATGAATATTTGTTATTAAAAAAATAATTTCTCTATACTAAATAATTAAGTATTGACCCGAATTGATACCCCTGGTCCTCTATTTAAAAATTCCAACAAACTCTTTCCTTCTACTCCACATAAGGAGTGCTTTTCTTCATTCCCTATGTCCTTCATGGATATTGGTCTCAAATAAGTAATCTCAGTATATTTTAGGGTTAATAAAAATATATTTATATTAAGTGGATTTGATTAAAAATTTTAAATACTTGTAATAAAATTTTTGGTCCAATCATACAGCGCAATTGCATGATTGCACTATACAATTAGTTCACTATAATGATTCCCAAGAGACATTATTTTTATTCGATCAAACTAGCTGATCAAGCCATATACTACAATTACATAGCTGATCAAGCCATCATACAGCGCAATTGCATGAAATACCAAAAATGTCATGCACATGATATAATAAGATCATGTTATTACATAGTAATATAGTATGATTGCCAAAGATCAAGTTATAAAAGAAAAATATTTTATTTTATCTCATCAAGTTTTACCCTAATTTGGGATCATTTGGCTGGTTTCATTTGTATTGTAATGCATTCTGATAATTCTTAAGTTTTTTATTAGGTGAATTTCAAATGTAATGTAATTCATCGGTCAATTTAGAATTCACAATTTAGTTCAATTTTGTTGTATTAAAAAATCAATAGATTTGACATATTTTCAAGAACATTGTAAAACTTTTGTCATCGTCGTAGCAAGTTTTTGCTAGCCACACCTTCGTCATTACCAACTGCCACAATGGTCGCTCATCAGCTCTAAATGTTGACTGCAAACCCATCGCCTTTTGCTTGTCGTCGTAGCTCGCCTACTACCACCAATAAGAGGTTGTTGCATGATAGTCACAGGCCACTCCAATCACTTCATTGGAATTCAATTTGCTCCAAATCAAATATTTAAAAAATCTCATATATTTATTTTACATCTTATTAAATAACTTTAATAAATTAAATCTACTAAATTTACTCTATAATGAATTTATTTAATATTGTATTTCTTTTACACATTATTTTTTCAACAAATTAAATGGTCCTTAATTTAGTTGATAAAAGCTTAAAAAAATATTATCAATATATTTAATTTAATTTTTATCTACATTGAATTTACACATGAAGATTTATTATTAAGAAAAATAATTTCACTATACTAAATATTATAAAAAAAAATATAAAACTTATAAAATTACATCAAGGCATTAAAATAAAACATCTAAAATAGAAATAAATGTTGAAAAACAAAAACTAGCAAACCCGCCAGTAATTTTCCCTTAATCTAGAACTCCCACGAGCCCAAATCCCCTAAAACCCTAAGCGAGGGAGGGGGCTCTTGGGTCTCGCTCATCGCACATCAATGGCGCTCTATCTGCTATTCGAATCGGCCTCCGGCTACTCTCTCTTCCTCGCTCATGGCATCGACGAGATCGGCCAGAGCATCGATGCCGTACGTGAATCAGTACTCGACCTCAATCGGTTCGGCAAGGTCGTTCGCCTTGTAGCCTTTAGCCCCTTCTCCTCAGCTATCGATGCCCTCAACCAGTGCAACGCCATTTCCGAAGGTAACTCTCACTCTAACTCAATCAAATACGTTTGCTTTCCCTTTTCCGTCCTTAGCTTTCAAGATCGCCTGTTCTATGCTGCAGGGATTATGACCGACGAGCTGAGGAACTTCTTAGAGCTCAATCTTCCAAGGAGGAAGGAAGGGAAGAAGCCAAAGTTTAGTCTTGGAGTTGCAGAGCCGAAGGTTGGGTCGCAGATCTTCGAGGTGACGAAGATTCCATGCCAAAGCAACGATTTTGTCCTGGAGATACTACGTGGCGTCCGTCTGCACTTTGATAGATTCATCCAGGATTTGAAGGTCGGTGATTTTTGGCGTGTTGATAGTTTGATGCTGGTGTTGTTTGTGTTAAATTATGATTATTATCGTTATTTTTTTTGGTGCAGCCAAATGATTTGGAGAAGGCTCAACTGGGTTTGGGCCATAGTTATAGCAGGGCCAAAGTTAAGTTCAATGTCAACAGGGTGGATAACATGGTCATTCAGGCAATCTTTCTCCTCGATACCCTTGATAAAGATATCAATACTTTCTCCATGAGAGTGAGGTTTGTTGGAACTTGATTTTCGTTCATTTTGAAGAAATTTTAAAGCTTAGGAGCTGTTTTACTGCAAATTTGAATGAAATTCAGCCAGTATTTAGTCTAAGTCTTGCTAAACACTTGTATTGAGTCACATAAATCCCTCTATCTTCTACAATCCTTTTTTTTTCCCATTTCTTGGCCAAATCTTTGATTTGGTAAATCATGAGAATTTAGTAAATCATGGGAAGTTGGATATATGTGATATCACTTCCACTCATTATACATCTCTTCATTTTTTTTAAAATACTAAATCTTGAAAATATTTGCCAAACAGTAATTAGGATTTAACCAGATTTGACATTTAACATACCAAACAGCTTTTTAGAATTTAATGCCTTCAGGATTTACAAAGTATGAATTTACAAAATTTACTAAACCTTAGGGGCTATTTGGATGCAGGATTTGAGCAAGATTTAGCCTAAATTCTACCAAACATAAAAAATGACAACTTTAAATCATACAGAATCTTAAATCCTTTTTCTTCTTTGTTTTATCTTAAATCTTTAATTTTGTATATCTGATAGTCCGACAAATTTATGGGATTTAACTGAAGAAGCGCGTGAAAGGGGTGATAGATTGTTAACTTCTCGGTGAGCTCCCATCATGACTTCGCTCCGATAGGAACAACTCGTTGAAGGAGGCTAATAAGCTTCCTTTAGCGACTCTTTAAAAAATCTACTTCACGCAAAGTACACAACGTCGAAGTAGCAACGGAGAAATGGAGAAGAAAAAGCCAACCCTAGATTGTGCTAAGGCTATATGAAGAGCATAGACAATGATCAAAGAGGAGAAATTACAGAAATAGACATGCAATGGCTGAGAAGAATACCATCTACTCCGTTTTCACTCCTACCAATGTTTCTTATATTTGCTTTTTTTTTTCTCTTTTCAATTTACAGTAATTTTTTTAATAAGGAAATTCAATATATATAGTTGATATTTAAGTCTCTATTTAGAGATTAAATCTATTTTTTGTGATTCATTATTTTAAAATTTTATTAATTAATAATTAATTAGAGTTTTAATATATTTTAAATATGATTTAAATAATCTAATCATGATTGATAAAGAATTATAAAATTAGATTTAATAATATTCAATTATGTAAATTAGACATAAATAAATTAATTTTAATAATTAATATTAAGTAAATAAAAATATTAACAAGCAATTTGATATTTTTAAAATCTTATTTGAATCAACAAATTTAAATGCTAAAGTAGCCAAAGAGTTCATCAAGATTTAACCAAATTAAGATTTAACTTACTTTGGGTGTGATAAATCTGGATTTACTTGGGTTATAAGCAAACACCTTAGCATGTTAATTAAAAAATCAAATTAAATTTGCATTTTCAGTGAAGTGGTCACCTTAAATCTTAAGTTATATTGCCAATTGATTTTATTGGGTTTATCAGAATTTAACATCTTTCTTGCCAAATAATTTTCAGGAGTTAACACCCTCGATATTTGACTAAATCCGGATTTACAAGATTTATTATATCCCACTTGAGTTAAATCCTACTTGAATCCAAACAGCCTCTTACTTGTAGCTAAACAATCTGAAAAGAAATAAGAAGAAGCATTCTATTAAAGCTAGTTGTTGTGGTATCTTTTTTTTTTTTAATGTTTAGTACAATGGTGTTGTTTAGGGAGTGGTACTCGTGGCATTTTCCAGAGCTTGTGAAGATTATCAATGATAACTATTTATATGCCAAAGTTGCAATGTTTTTGGAGGACAAATCAAACTTGTCTGAGGATCAAATTCCACAGTTAGCTGATATAATTGGGGACGAGGAAAAGGCTAATGAAATCTTAGAAGCAGCCAGAGCATCAATGGGTAGAAACCTCAAAGTTTTATTTCAATTTCAGTTAATTCAAATATCATTAATGACTCTTCCTTCTTCTTGTTTATTTATAGGGCAGGACCTCTCACCAATTGATCTGATAAATGTCAAGCAGTTTGCTCAAAGAGTTATGGACTTATCTGATTACAGGAAGAAGTTATATGTGTATCTCGTCACAAAAATGAATGACATAGCACCAAATTTGACATCTCTAATTGGTGAAGTTGTCGGTGCACGTCTTATTTCTCATGCTGGAAGTCTCTCAAATCTAGCCAAGTGTCCTGCTTCCACCCTCCAGATACTTGGTGCTGAGAAAGCACTTTTTAGGTTTGTATTATGAACTTTCTCTTATACATTTTTATTGTTTAGTGGTAACATTTACTAAGAGTTCCCCCTTTCATGTAACATTTATGTAATCTACTGGTTGAATTCAGTGTCTGTAACTGCATGTGTTATCACTCATAAAAAACAGTAGCTTAACTAGCAGCTCCGCAATGCTATTTAGGCTTCGTTTGGGACGGCTTTTTTATTGCTTGTTAAAGCAGATTTTTAGTAAAAAATTAAATTTTTTGTACTAGAAAGCTGCTTTAAGAAGCAACAAAAAAGCCGTCCCAAACGAAGTCTTATTTCCTATGACTTTGTTTAACATGTTTTATGTTTGTAGAGCTCTAAAAACAAAAGGAAACACTCCCAAATATGGCCTTATCTTCCATTCTTCCTTTATTGGTCGTGCTTCTGCGCGGAATAAAGGTCGTTTAGCTCGTTATCTTGCAAACAAGTGTTCAATTGCTTCTCGAATTGATTGTTTCTCAGGTAAGCAGCTTTATCTAGATATAACCGAGCATTAAGTTTGCATTTTAATCTGAAATTTTGCTGATGAATTTTCTTCTCAGATATTAATACCACTGTCTTTGGGGAAAAGCTACGGGAACAGGTTGAGGAGAGATTGGACTTCTATGACAAAGGAGTTGCACCTCGCAAGAATGTTGATGTTATGAAATCTGCCATTGAAATTGCACAAAGCTTGGCTGGGGAAGATGGTAAAAGCCAGTTTTTTGCCAAAGTTATTTTAAGTGTTGAATATATTATATCTCCATATGAGAACAAGTTACATTCTGAAGCTGCTTAAAGCAGCAGGGTGAAGTCTTGTTTGTGCTTTTTATTTTTTTTGAAGCAAATCAAACAACCAGTCTATGACTGTTCAGCTTAGTTGTTTTGCCTCTCGTCTCTAAAGTAGAGGTTTTGGGGTTTGATTCTGGAAAAAGAAAGCTTCATCTGGGAAAAAATTCTTGTTACATAAAATATCATGTAATCTCAGAATGAAAACCATGCCCACAGACAGCTTCACCCACAAGCCTCGATTTCCTTTCAATCTCTATTTTGCTATTTTTCATGGGCTTTTTACCTCATCTAATTTAATGATCTGGAGTTCTTCATACTTAGGCTTCGTTTGAGATGACTTTTTTACTGTTTTTTAAAACAGCTTTTTAGTATAAAAAAATTTAAACTGAAAATTTTGTATAAAAAACTGTTTTAGAAAATATTAAGAAAGCCGTCCCAAACAAAGCCTTAATTTGCTTTAAATCAAGCAGTATCAAAGTTCGACACAGTTTTTTTAATCCATTTGCTTCCTGGTACAGGTTTAATTGTATTTCTAGTTTTTATCTGCCGTGTATTCTATATACTTTCTTAAAGTGCATTCTGCCGTTATTGTGAATCTGGTATTTTCCTGTTTTATAAAATTTTTTCTCCTTCTAGTGAACACTACGTACTTTTAAGCTTTTTTATTGTTTCAATTACACACGCATATATCAGCTGGTTCCATTTTAGCATCAAATTGCAGTTAATTTTTTAGGTTGATTATTGAGTTTTTAGTCTGGAATGTACTCACTATTTAAGCTGTTCATTGTAGCTGGAGAAAATAAAGGTATTGATGAACCTTCTACAAAGAAAAGCAAGAAGAAGAAGAAATCAAAAGATGAGGCTGAGGAAATAGAGCCGGTGGAAATTAAACCTTCTGATTTGGTGGATGAAGATGCATCCACTGAACCAGAGACTAAAAAGAGGAAGAAGAAAAAACTGAAGCATGCAGAGGATGAGGATACCAAAACCATTGAAGCAGTAAATGGAGCAAATGAAACTTCTAAGAAGAAAAAGAAACATCGAAAATCAGAAGAGGGTGATGTTGAAAGAATAATCGAAGGGAAGAAGAAGAAGGTAAAAACAGAAGGCCATGAATGAGCACTTGCCTGGAAACTTTCAGAGTTCAATTTGCTTATTGAAGCCAGTAAGCAAAGCAGCCACTTGGTTGGTCGAATCTCAGTGCTGACAGTGAAGAAGATAATCAAAGTTGTAATTTGTATTATCCTTTTTTTTTTTTTTGTATAATCATCAACTTTTCGCTACATTTAAAGTTCTTCTGAACAAACTCTCAGTGATGAGGACATCAGAAGATCAATGATCTACGGTCACGATCTACTTTTGATTATTATTGTATTTGATGTATTTTATTTTATGTTTTATGAGTCTATTGTATTTGTTTCCGTTTATGCCCTTGCTTAAGGGCCTCGTCATGTGTTTGCTTTAGGGGCAATTGTGTCTTTGTATTTTCTTTAGTCCGTTGGTTATTTATAGCCTTCCCCCTCTTCATGTAAGGAGGATGAATTATTGATAATGAAATTTTTATGTTTTTTTGATCTCTTAGTGAGTTCATGTTGATCTCTTAGTGAGTTCATGAGAGGAGAAGTCCGAGGAGGGTGATTTGCAATACCCGTCAATCTTGGTGGATTCTAAGGTTCGCAATTCTCTTATCTTACTTTTCTTTTATTTTTCCTTGCATCGAATTCCCCTCCTTTGGAGTCACCACCGCCGACCACCTAATCCAGCCCCTTGCCACCACCACCCGACCCTCCTGCCTTCCAAACTAAGCCGTTCACCTCCCCTTAGCCCACCGCCGGCCACCTTTGGCTACCCAAGCCACTGGCATCACCCAACCCCCACGACCGACCCTTCCCAACCCCGCAGCCCATCACCTTGCCGCCGGCCACTTTCCGTCTTTCTCCTGCTGGCCAAACTTTCCATCACCTATACATTAACTTCCCTCCACAAATCTCTCCCCAAATTCCATCTCACATGGAGTTTTCTGCCTACTAAGACTGTAGCTAGAAAATTCCAGCAATTGTCATTGTTTTCCCAGCAACTTGGAGCTTCAAAGTTGCTGTTTTACAAGACCAATCTGCTGCCCAAGGGCTCCCAGCCTTCATACAATTATTTTCCAAGTTGATGGCCATCTCTAGGATTTCTATCATGAACTTTTCAGCAAGGAGTTTCGCTGTCCAGTCCTCCAGAACAATACCGTTCACTGTCCAGACTTTTTTGGACATTGTTGGATTGCTGTCCAGGGATTTCTAACAAGAAGAGCTGCTGTCCAAGACTTCTAAAAACCTAAAGCTGCTGTTTAGACTCCTGTATTTAATCTGCTGTCCAGGATTTTCCAAGTATCAAAATTGCTGTCCAGCAATCATGGCAACCTCCTATTGTTGTCCCGCTGCCTCTAAAGTCCATATTGATGTCCCGCTACATCTCGAAGGCTCGTGGTAGCTGTCTACCTCCTCTCAAGCACCCAAGCAACCACCGGAGTTGTCTTTCCTATTTCTTTGGGTAACTCATCACCCCAACTCTTTATCCTCTTAGTTGCTTCTCACTTATGGTTTTAATAGATTCATAAGAAGCTTGTTAATTACTCTCCGCTAAAGCCTTAGAATTAGAGAGTTGATTGAGCAGACTCTAACATAGTAACTAGTCTTGTTGTTAAGAAAGGGATTTTTGTTGGAACCAATCATGTTTGCAAAGTCATGGTAATTGACTAGTTTACAATATTAACTTCCACGCATGTGATTTAGCCTGAGCTTGTTTTATCGCCTTATTATTTTATCTTAGCGTTTAAATCGGCATAAGTTTTATTTAACATTGTTCTTGAAAAATTAAGCGTGCAAATTCCTTAAAGAAATTCATCTTTGCATGTACTGTTTTACATCACTCAGTATTTCTTTTTTTTTGCCATCAAAATAGTGGAAGCACAAAGGATCACAATTCTGTTGTTTATGCATGTGTAACTAATATAAAATTCTTGTACTGTAGAGAATTTTGGAGATTTTGCCACTATTTGAGGTGTTAGACAATCTTGATCTTCTCCAAATGCTCGGTGGCATCAAGTCACCTTGTTCTACCTTCACTTGCTTATCCTAGTTCACCCAATTTTCCCCTTCTTTCAGAGGATTAATTTATTCTGTGCGGAAGTTGAACGTCATCTAGAGATCAATCAGAATGTGTCACATTACCGCTTGATCGGTACCGCGGCTCCATATTACTGACATGACATATTTTAGTTGGTCTCCGGATGATATTTTGCGTTCGGTCTCCGCATAGAATAATTTCTTCTTACAAATACATTGCTAGATCTTCTAATTTCCTTCAAGTAGAGAACTATATAGACCATCTCCAATCAAGCATCAATGCTAGATCTTCTAATATCTCTTCCCTTAAAAAAAATAACTATTTCAATCATCTATAATCCCTAGAGACTCATTTTGTTTTTTTAGTTTAAAAAAAAAACAAAATCAAAATTAAAACCATCTTGCTTGGCACATAATCTTATCATTCTAAGAACAAAATCTTTAACAAAATCTGAAATTTTGGGGACACCCAAAAATCTGAAATGATTACGCGCACCCAGAAGATCCGAACCGGCCTCCGCCGCTCTTCACTTTCAAAACCTCGGCGACGCCCTCCCCCACTACCCAAACACCCTACTCCAGCCCACAACGCCCTCAAATCCGCCGCCGCCGAAGACCCCTCCGCCGCCCTCCACCACCTCCTTTCCTCCTCCAACCCCGACTACCCCGCCTGCGCTTCGCTCCTTTACCGCCTCGCCCGCACCCGCCTCTTCCCCGAGCTCGACGCCCTCCTCCTCTTCATTCGCTCTCGCCGCATCCCTTGCTCCAACTCCCTTTTCTCCGCTCTCATCCGCCACTTCTCTCTCGCTTCCCTCCCTCACAAAGCCCTCCAACTCTTCTTCTCCATCCCTTCCTTCAATTGCTCTCAGGGATCTCCTTGTCTCCATACCTTCAACCACCTCCTTGACGCGCTTGTTAGCAACGGCTGTCATGATGAATCAAGATGTCTCCTTGATCGTTGCTCTGAGTTTGGTCTTCGTGCAAATCATGTTTCCTATAACATTGTTATGAAGGGAAGGTTGAGCAGAGATGGGTATGATGGTGCCCTACAAGTGTTTGATCAAATGCGCAAGAGAGGTGTCAGCCCGTCTGTGGTCACTTATAATATGCTCATCGGTGTTGCAGGTAAGGATCTGAAGGAGAGGAATACAATGTATGTCTATTTTACTTACATTATCTACGCCTAATAATTTTGATAGGAAACACTCGTATATCTCAAATATTTCCAATCAATCTTCGAAAAACACAGCTAGATTTCTCCACACAAATTGACGAAAATAATAGATAATTTGTATTATTAGATAAAAGGGAAACGAAAAATAGCAAGATACAATTGATCCTCTCGATCTATCTCTCTCAAATCTCCAGACGCCGCTAGAGCCCAAAAGTAAACCTAAACCTAAGAGATCTCGAATTTCAGACAAATTCCAGATGCTCTAACCCTAGGAAAACAAACTATTTAATGCATACAAACCAAAAGGAAACCCCTAAACAACCCCTACATTCAAATTTCCCTCCTACTTTCCTCAAAAATCCTTCCTAATATGCTCCAAGGGATCTAGCGGAAACATCTGCATCTGTTTTCGTGTGATACGGTCCATAAGAGACCGGCTGGACCGGTCCATTCAAATTTCTCCTTATTGTCCCAAAGATAATTGAGGTTTTATGTTTTTGTGTTAAGTTCATTTTACATACCTGACAAAAAGATCTTGTTCAAGCTAGACTGATTCACATAAACCTTTTTTTAGGCCGAAATGGGGAGTTGAGCAAAGCCAAGGATTTGAAAGAGGAAATGGTTAAGAAAGGGATATACCCCAATGCCGTCACCTATGCCATTCTAATGAAATCCTTTTGCTCGTCTGGAAAGTATGTTGCAGCAAAGAAGCTCATGTTTGACATGGAATACCAGGGTTGCAAGACCAAAGTAGTAAATTTTGGAGTGCTAATGAGCGACTGTGGAAGGAGAGATGACTTCGATGAGATGAAAGCGCTTCTCGCCGAAATGAGAGTACGAAAAATCAAGCCAGATGATGTGATTTACAGCATTTTGATCAACTATTTATGTGAAAATGGTAGAATGGATGAGGCTTATAAGGTGCTGGTGGAGATGCAGGTGAAGGAGGGATGTAAGCCAAGTGCAGCTGTGTATAGAATCATGATTGATGGATTCTGTAAGGTTCAAGAATTTGAGAAAGGATTGGGAATTCTGAATGCAATGTTGGTCAGTGGGCACTGCCCTCGTTTACAGACTTTTGGTTCTTTGATTTCAGGGCTTGTTAAAGGTGGAAGAATGGATGAGGTTTTCTTTGTGTTGGAGGAGATGGTGAAGAGGAAGTTGGGATTAGATTTAGAAGAATGGCATTCTTTAGTTGATGCAGGTTGTGGAAAATGTAATGGTGGTGGTGAGCTTTTAAGTCAATTGACTTCAATGGTCTTTGTGGGAGGAGATGAGGGATGAAATTTATGCATTATCTTCTTCATAAATCTCATTTCTATTTTATCACTTGAAGGTGATTTTGATGGTGGAATGCCTTTCTTGTTGATTAATAAGGTTAGTTAATAGCATTAGTACATCAAGTTTTGAAAAGTTGCACATTAAGGTTTTATTTGGAACGGCTTTCTTACTGTTTCTTAAAGCAGTTTTTTAGTATGTAAATTTTATTTTTTGTACTAAAAAGCTGTTTTAAGAAGTAGTGGGAAAGCCGTCCCAAATGAAGCCTGAGGCTTTGTTTGGGACGACTTTCTTCTTGTTTTTTAAAACAGCTTTCTAGTATAAAAATTTCTTGAATTTGAAATTTTTGTAGTAAAAATCGTTTTAGAAAGCAATACGAAAGTTGCCCCAAACAAGTCTAAGGTTTGTATAAGTTATTAGAGATTGTGAAAATTGATTTTGAGATCAACTGAATTTTATTTTTAACAAATTTATGATTTAGAGTGTGATTCTGTGAGAAAAATTTAATGTTGCTAAGAAAATATTTATCTGAATTCAATTGAGCTTAAGGTAATCATTAATAGCATAATTGAAGTCTTTTGAAGGTCATTTGAGTAAAATATTCTTTGAATTTTGCACGAAAATTAACATTATGATAAGATGAAAGATTTTTTAATATTGTTCCTCAAAGCAGTGGATGTTCAAAAAATATATTTAATCAAAGAGGATCAATTCAAAGTATCCAGATGCTTAGAAGAGATGACATAATAACCATTAAATTTTAAAAATTATTAGTAAGTTATGATTTCCCAGTCTTAGACTCTTAGGAGAGAGAAATTATTTTGTGTGTACACCAGAGATCAATCAGTGCACGTCATGTCATTTTTTGCTCGGTACCAACGCATTCTGATTGGCCTCTGGACAGTCCCGTGACTGTACAGAATAATTTCTCCTTAGGAGAAGAAAATTCAAGAGCTTCAATCATAATTGATGGTATTTGGGATTTCAACTGGTAGAGGCACTTCCTCGTGGCCTGGTTTGACCTTCGATTAAGAGGACTATCGTGTGGAATATTTTCCAACATTCAATTTTCAACACGTCTTATACGTAAGAGTCGAACTCAAAACTTATTGATTGTGAGTCAAAGCTCTCAACAAATATATCAAGATACATCCAGATTCGAGGGGGATAATAATTGCAAAAAAAAAAAAAACTATAATCAAACTAAATAATAGTAATGACCGTAAAAATAAATGTTAAAAAAATTTCCCCAAACAAAAAAATTAGATTGGTTAGATTGTACTTTTCCATGTTGTAGATGGGCCCAAGCAGTACATACATTAGACTAGAAATCAGAGCCCTTCATTGGATACTCATATCCACACCCACCAGCATACTCATCCATACCCAATGGGCATGAGTGGGTACTCAACATCAGAGGACAAATCGATTTACATTACTAATTACCATATGCATACAATATATTACAGCAAGCCTTACTACGCAGTGCGCAACACTAAACTGCGCCGCGACCACGATAAATTTTGATGTGGCTTGAAAGTTTGCAGCTAGAGAAAAGGTTAACAAACATCAAAGCCATTAATCCTTGACAGACTGCATTCAAGAAGCGTGGAAAGTGGGTGGGTGTGGGTAGATATGACATCCTGAAAGTCATCATAGGTGGGAGTGGGTGGGCAAAACCCACCAGCATAGAGCGTGGGTACCCAACTAGGACCCCATGTAGGGCTTTGCTAGAAATGCATCGTTATTAGATATACCAACCGCCCGTTGAGGTTTACTTTCGACCTAAAATTGGTTTGCTTGAATTGGAAATATCTTTTGCAGCTATTGCAGCACATTGCAAAATATTCACTCACGGAAGATTAATGGCTAAACAACCAACCCTTAATGACAAAAAAAATTAATTTTATTTCGCCTCTCTAAGGTCTCATTTTGGACAACTTTTTTATTGCTTTTTAAAGCAGATTTTTAGTACAAAATTTTTGTACTAAAAAATTGCTTTAAGAAATAATAAGTAAGCCGTTCCAAATGAAACCTTACTGCTTCTACAAGTAGTTGTCTAGTGCAAAAAGCTGTTTTACGAAATAATAAGAAAGTCATTCGAACGAAAACTAAATTTTCTAATTACTTTAGGCTTCGTTTTGGATAGCTTCAAATCACCCCTTTTTTTTTTGCTTTAAAAAAAATTATACTAAAAAATAACATTATAAAATAATAAGAAAGTCATCTCCAACAAAGCCTTAATTTTCATTTCCTAAGTGCTATAAAAATCCAGAGGATATTTCCAAATTAAAATAGATTTTTCTAATGAATTTGATTATAAATCAAAATAATGATTTTCGATTTAAATAGAAAAAAAAATTTCTTAAATTGACAAGATAATATATCGATCACACACCAAAACTTGAACCTAAAAGAAGCTCAACCGAACCTCTGCGAGGATTTTGTTATTTTGTTAATTGGACTGCACCTAATAATTTATCCAAATAAACTCAAAATTACACTGAAAAGAATTAAAAAAAAAAAACAACTGAAAAAGATAGATGAATAGGAATAAAAAAATGGCCAGCTTCGTACATATTATTAACTATTTACAAAATTAAAATCTTTAATTCTCCTTACCAAGTAGATGAGTCAAGCCAACTCGTGATCCGACTCAAGCTTAACTCGATAAATGACTCGTGAGCCAAACCCCATGAGCTAATAAAACAAACTTAGTCTAACCCTAACTCGAAATATTAACATAAAATATACTTAAAATATATTAAAATTCAAAATTCTAAATACAAAATTATTAAAAATACTAAAAAATTATATCACAATTTCTTATATTAACTAATTCTTTATTATTATTACTTTTTATATTTACACATTTTTCAATATCATTTTATTATAATAATTAATTAAATCATAATCATTTTCTTTCTTTCATAATAAATGATTTGGCTCATTAGCCAGCTTAAACTCGTGGAATAGAGCTCGAGCTCAAACTCGATTAATTAATCAAGCTCAAAAAAAAAAAATCAAATTCCAACTCGAGCTCAACTCGTTTACACCCCTACGCCTAACTCAAATTTTCAAATTCCCGCCCAAATATTAAAACGAAAGTTGTATTTTTCTCAATAATTTCATCATTGCACACTATTTAATAGTTCTTAAACAAGAAAGATTTCTATATTGTAAGCATAAGTATCCCAAAAACAATGGCAACAAAACCAAAAACAATGGAGGAGTTTCTATAAGAAATAACTTTGATCACATTTCCTTCTTAATTTTATTGTGGAAATCATACTTCTTTGTTCTCTTAATCTCTCTTATCTAGATAGATAGAGTTACCACATTAGTACATTGAAAAAAGAGAAGGCTACAAGATTAACAAGGGCCTGCCACCTCTGTGGCTTTGACCTTGGAATATATTTTTGGCGAGTAGGACTTAGTCCTTATATATACAGCATTCCATTAAAACTTAAGAGGCTTAGAGGAAAAAGGAAAGGAAAGAGCCACTTACTTGTGTGGCTTCTTTTGAACTCTCTTGTACATCAGCTTTGCCAGCTGCTGAGCTCGGTGAGGATTTTGGCTTTGGAAAGCAGAAGTTTTCCTCCGCTGCTATAGCCATAATAGATACAGGACTGACGCAAAGATCAAATGAGTTATCCTGCGGCCGGACGACACAAACGCTGCAATGGGAAAAATGAAAAATGTAAGGGGGATTTACATGCATACCACTTTATTTCATGCTATTTACATATCTAACATTTAAAATTTTAATATTACATGCCTAATATCGATAGAACAAATATGAGTGTATGGAATGAAATATTAAAGTTTATAGGGTGGTATGGATGATAAGAATAAAATATAGGAATATTATATTTGATATTAAAATTTTATATGAGTATTAAGAATGTAATTAGATGCGTTCATGTTTAAAGTTCTTCGTGAAAACATTTGTATTCGACTCATTAGAATTGAAACCGAATATAGTATAAATATAAGCCGCTTTCGAATAGATGAAAATAAATAAAGAATACCTTAGAATCAATATACATATTTACTATTCTATTAACAAATCTAACAAATTACACACACATATAGTCAAATCATAAATGCATGAATGATAAGAAAATTTTAATGAACTTTAGATAATTCAAAATCAATCTACAATAGATGAAATAATCTCGAGCTTGAGATCAAACTCTAATACTTGTTGAATGAAAAATCAAGTACTCAAATATGACCAAACGAAAAATTAAGTAATATGAAAGAGCCGATAAAAAAGATTGTTACGTGCTAAAAAACTCATGATATTCCAGGAGAAGATTATCATCTTAGCAAGCACAAAAAACATAATTTAGCTCCTCATGCTTCAAATTTGCATTTAAGAGACAAAAAATAATCATGCAAGAGGCATAATTATGAGAGACATTTGAAGTTCATCAAGAACCTAAATGAAGTAAGGATCACAATTTCCCTCTAAACCGAGCCAAAAACATTCTTGCAAGAGGCATAATTGTGAGTGACGTCCAAAGTTCATCATTCTTGAATTGAGTCTTTAATCTTCCTAAAAAAAACAGAGACTAATTATCCTCATTTGAATGAATTTTAATCGAGGATTGAAGTTTTCCTCCCCATGCTTTTAATTTTTTTTTTAAAAGAAGTTGATCTTCACCAAACTCAGCATTCAACAAGAGGAAGATGGCGGTTAAATGGGTTAATGCAGCAATATGCCATCAATGTGGTTGTGTGAAGATAATAACAAAAAAACGATCCTCCAAGAAGCTATTGGTTCAATAAGAAATTGTTTTTTTGTTATTTTATTTAATTTTTGTTATCTTAGTCATTTTTGCCACATTTTCCTATCACTTTTGTTAATATTTTCGTTGTATACTCTTCCATAAGTGTGCACTTCTCACCAGAAATTTCAAATTTATCAAAAGAATTTTCATTTCCAATTTTTTTGTACTAAATTGTGAAGTTTTTTATTCAATGAATTTTTTTTCATTGAACCATAAGGAAAAAATGGTTCAGATGTAAAAACTCATAAAATTAGGAAAGATATAAAGGGACCTATATATATATATATATATATATAGACAAGCAAAGAGAATGAGTGGTGTGTATTGGTTCCTATTTTTAAGAATAAAGGCACACGCAAGAATGTGTGAATTATAGAGGAAATAAGTTAATATACCATAAATTAAAACTATGGGGGAGAGTAATTGATCATAGGTTACGATATGATACTAATATTTTTCAAAATCAATTTGGATTCATGCCGAGTAGGTCTACTATGGAAGTCATACATTTAGTGAGAGATTTGATGATAGAGACAGCAAGGAGGATCTACATCTAATATTTATTAATTTAGAGAAAGCATATTATAAAGTTCTAGAAGTGCTCTAGAGAGTTTTATAAAAGAAATGAATTATTAATGCTTGTATTCAAGTCATTAAGGATATGCATACAAGATCGAGCTGTTAATTGCGTTCAAACATAGGGTAGTTTGATTAAGTATTTTCCTATTCAGTTCAATTACATCAAAGGATCAACTTTAAGCTCATATCTTTTTGTTTTAGTCATGGATGTTCTTCTAGACATTTGCAAGATGATGTACCATGGTGTATGGTTTTTGCTAATGATATTTTACTTGTTGATAAAACTAGAGAGGGCGTTTAATTATTGATTTTGAGAATGATTCATTATTTGTACATTCATCAAAGTTGGCCAAAAGTTTTTTGTGAATGTTCATCTTAATGTACATAGATTATCTCAAAAAAGTTATAAATATTTTAAAGTTGTTTTTCTAAAAAATTTCATAGTTGTTCATAAATCCATATACTATACTATTATTGTAAAAAAAAATTTGAGATATCAAATGAATAAATTTTCTAGTGTTCTTACTGTCTTCAAGAAGATGGATTGGCAAAGAAGAGAATGATACATCCTTCTCTAAATTTAGGCATTCGGTTAAATAATATCCAATTCTAAAAAAGTTGGCATACCTGTAGGATGCTCATAAATTTAATTGGTAGATTTTATCGAAAAAACGATCTAATTGTAATATTTAGGGTGATAACTTGTGAGCCCGAGACCATTGTCCTTGAGGAATACAAGAACGAAAATTCAGTAATTTAAGAATTAAAATTCCCACTTATGTCCTCAGAATTAGGATAACATCTAGACATGTGAATATATAATCCTACATATTAAACTAAAATACAAAATAAAAAACTTCAAACTATAGAAATTTCAAACTAATCATCATAATGCAAATTATTTTACATTTTAGATAGATTGTGATCAATCAAGTAGAATCGCATCAATCTGACCAATATGATTCCCAACTTTTTTCTAATTTCTTCTACCATTATCATTATATTATTAGTTAATAGTTAAGTTAAAGGTTCGACTCTGATCCCTCGTAAAACCTCCTTTGATTTTCTAATAACATTATCCCAACCAAAACAGCTAGAAAAAGTGGGTAAATTTTTAAAAGAAATTGGAGTAGGGTGATTTAATTCAATTCAAAATCTAGTTTTAAGTATAGTTGAAGGCACCAAGAAGTTGATTTATACGAGAAGTTTTTGGGATACTCCGCCATCATGATCGTGTGTTTCCTACAAATTGACTTAACCTGAGATTTGCATGCCAAGGAAATGAAAAGCTATTCAAACAGAAGATGATGAGGAACCTAGTTTTGAGAAGATCATTTTCAGCATGTGAGTATAAATAGGTTTGCACGTTGCTAAGCACCGATAAATTGTTGTGATTGTGGACAAATTTTCAAGATGGTGCTTTTAGTGTCACAGATAAAGATATATGTGGAAACCATTTTTTTAATTTTTAAATCGAACTGAAAAATTGAACCAATCTGGCCCTATTCTGCCCGCTACATCATAAGCCTATCTATTTTAGGATAGAGATTCCAACGGCGCATAAAGAAAGGGAGCATGCCATTACATGCATTATATTAGTGACACATTACTCATTAAGGAAAAAACATGCCCTTTCGTGCTATAGGCATATCCCTTATAATTTATTTGTATGTTTTAATCTTTAATAATATATTGCATAAGATATTTTATTTATTCATAATATTCAAGCGATTATATGGATATAATCTAAAAGTTATTTTGTCATATTACTTGTTGCACAAATTTCAAAGAAGTTATGTTCATCATTTTGATTACTAAAAAAATAATTATTACCAATATAAATCATGATCTATATTAATATATAATGTCTAATCATAATAATTATATAGTTTTTAACATGGAACGTTTATTATAACATAACTTATATAACATGGGATTTTTGCATGATACATTAATGATATAATATTTATAATTATTTCTTCTTGAAGAAATTGTTTAGGGGAAATTGAATTCAAATTTTATTCCTTGGAATCATTACATATATATACTCTCTAGGAGAATAAACAGAAAAAGAAAGATATTTAATCTAATTGATTATAATAAACAAAAAAGGAAAATCATTTAATCTAATTGATTCTAATAATTATATCTCACAGCTCTTGGAATCAATCCCACGGATCTTGGCGTGAGAAGAGGAAATCTCCAACTGCATCCCACGAATTGCTAACCTATCAAAGACGTGGGCATCCTCATCGTGTGATTCAACAATTCCCCTCAAGTTGGGTTGTACAGGTTGTACAATCCTAACTTGCAAAAAAACTTATCAAGTAGAGAGACTTATAGTGCCTTTGTTAGAATATCAGCAAATCGTTTATGAGTTGGGATATATACTACTTCAATTTCTAAGCTCTCTATTTTCTCATATATAAAGTGTCTATCAATGGTAACATGTTTAGTTCTGTCGTGATGTACTATATCCTTTACCATATTGATTATGGCTTGATTGTCATATTTCAACTTTATCGTGCCTTCAATTTTTATTCAAAGTTCAATCAATACTTGTCTAATCCAAAAACATTCACAAATAATAATTGTTAATGCTCTCAATTTAGATTCCACATTGTTTCTGAAAACAACAAATTGTTTCTTGCTACTCCATGTCACTTAGTTCCCCACACAAATGAACAAAATCTTGTGGTTGATCGACTGTCAACCTGGCTTACTGCCAAATATGCATTAGAATAAAGAATCAATTTCATATCTTAATTTTTCTTAAATAATAGCCATTTCCAGGTTCTTAAGATATCTCAAGACTTTATATGTTGCCTCCATGTGCTCATTCATAGGATTATTCATATCTCACCATGCTCACAACAAACCAAATATTTGGACGGGTGTGAGAGAGATATATAAGCTTTCCTACTAGATGTTGATATCTTCCTTTATCTACTGGAACCCCCTCCTTTTCCATCTCAAGTTTCTTCTTAGGATCCATAGGTGTACTGGCTGGTCTGCATCCCAACAGGCCAATCTCCTTCATTGGATCTAAGGTAGCAATGGGAAACAAATATACCTTTTCTTGATCGAGCTACCTCCATACCAAGGAAGTATCTATGTGATCCTAGATTTTTAACTTCAAACTCCTTGGACAGAGCCTGTTCGATCTCCATTATTTCCTCTATATCATTTCTAGTAAAGATTATGGCATCCACATATACATCAGTATTGCTACCTTGTTTCTTTCTGCTACTTCACAAACAAGGTATGATCTGTCTAGCATTGTCTAAAATCATGATCTTCTA